GGGTTCCTACTAACTGCTAGGTAAACAGAGACATGTGGAGTAAGGAAACTTGCTTAACATTTTGTCCTGCTTGGGAATCGAACCCAGGGCCTCTCGCTTGTGAGGCGAGTGCTCTCATCAATATGCTACAGGGCTCCACATTCGGCACCATTCATGCCAGGAAGATATCTTAATGCACTTGACAGGATTTACCTTGACTGTGTATTTTGAAAGTGAACACGGCAACCAATTTACACACAGCAATGTCCAATAAACAGCCATGATATGAACGACTGAGGGATTTTGTCGGAGGGATTATGGGTGAAACTCCCTTCTCTTATCAAGAAGTACCTTAGAATCTTTAACATCCATATGAACGGACAAGACTTTAATTTGACATCTCTTGTGTAGCTTGGCACCTCCATAAATATAGCACACTCTAAGCACTTGCTGATATATCCTGGAGTGTGAATTCAAATTTCTTATGTGGGACTTGAGCCTGACTCGAAAGGGTGCTGCAAACCAAGCCAAGCGGATACCTTGGTAGTATTCAGCTTGTGTTCATCATTACCATTTAATATGGGTGTCTTATTTGGTGACCAAGGCGGCCACCAGACTATGCAAGCCAACCTATGGCTGCCCACAGCAAGCGCAAAGCATCAGTTTGGGATCGCTTCTTACTGTGTAAAGGATGGTAGCGCTCAAGTCAGGGGACTCGTTCATTGGCGAGGTTTTCCTGTGGTGTAGGGTTTGCACAGAGCATCTTCCCGAGAATGACATGTTCCCTTCTGTGACCCAGCCCACGAGTGGCACTTCCCCATGAATAGAAACTCCCCCATCAGTACCATCATCTGATCAATACACCTTTAAGAATGGTACATCCCCTTTCCGTACCAGTTTCCTGTTGACAATGTGACCGAGATCAGAAATACAAAGGCACAGATCATTTTGCACTATTCTAGGGAGGACTAACTTGCTGCTGTGTCCCTTTTGGGAAAGTGTATCCATTTGTGCACTTACGTGGTGGTGACTGGCACTCTTAGCTTTTTATTATACATGACTGCCTCAGGACATCACCACGGTTGATATACAACTCATTTAGTGTGACACAAAAGCTAATGGATGTTCCTCAGGCACATTGTCTGCATCTTCAATGCATTTTTATCTGTTTTGTCTCTGTACAGGGCCTCTTTTGATCAATGGACATGAAGGAGATGGTACGAACAACAGAGAATTTAATAACAATTCCGGACATTTGCAGCTGTTTATTCATTCCATAACTTTATTTTCCATCAAGCTTTTTTCGGAGATGGCATTGTATTAAAACTATATACTTTAGAGGCAAAATACTGGCTACAGCACATTGGGGGAGAAGGGGATGAAAAGAATATGGTGAAAAGAACACTTCACGGAATATACTGTAAAGTGAATTGACTGTATATTTTGTGGGCGAAGTGCGTACAGCAGTATCACACAAACAGTCGTGGATTGAGTGACCAAATTTTTTTTTGAGGCGATTATTACCCCCTGGAAAAGTGATCCACCAATCAACTAACAACTGGGTTCCTACTTACTGCTAGGTAAACAGAGGCGTGTGGAGTAAGGAAACTTGCCTAAAGTTTGTTCTGCCCTGGAATCGAACCCGGCTCCTCTCGCTTGCGAGGCAAGTGCTCTAACCAATACGCTACAGGACTGGCATTCCCAGCAGTTATCCCATGGGTTTCCTGTGTTTAATTGTACGAAACAATTGCTGGGAAAACTGGAGGTACAATCTCCACCGTCAACTCTCTTAAGTCGAGGTCTAAGAGCAGGGAGCCTCACCTAATACCTTATACTACTAGAGATTCCCTGATTGCATCCGCAAGGAGGGATGAAGGCTCGGAATCGAAGCGATCCTTTGAACAGTGATCTTTGCTGCACTTTAAACTTTCATTCAACAGGAAATCAGGATTGACTGAACACGACTGGAGTATGATACTTTCTTCAGTATGAAGAAAGCAACATCACCTTTGCTTACAAAATACACAGTCACTAGACTTTACGTTACATCCTTTTAAGCATTTTGCAAGACATCTCGCCGATGTGAGGGTGCTATACTAAATGTAAGGATTATTATTAATAGTAATAATTACAATAATCTATTTTATACTGTCCCTTTTCCTCACAAGTGCCTCATTGGAATTTTAGCGGAGAGGAGATAGGATACATGTTTTCTGGTCAGCACCACAGCTACTTCAAGGTTTACAAATGCAGGCTGTGGTAACTTGCTCTCCACTCCACCCCACTGCAGACATTTCATTTACTTTCTCCCAATAAAAGTCAATTAATTTCCAATCAGGAAATAAAATGACTGAAAGTTCATGGGGAAAAGAGTGCAGAAATGACAAAGAGGGAAACATGACTGTGGAAAAAAGGCTGTGCTCTTAACCAAAACAAAAGGAACCAAAATAAGCTGTGTGAATGTCGTGCTGCCTCTCTTAGCCACAATTCAGCTAATCCATTTTCAGCCCCAACAGGTGCTCGATCCACCTTGAATCTCAAAAGGCCAAACAATACATCGACGACCACAAGCAATCTATTCTGACCGATTATACTTGGGTTTCAGAACAGGCATCTGAGAGACTGAATTGATTTAAGCAAGTGATGATGCAGTACAACTGGTGAAAGGCATCATGCTTGTACAAGGCACACAAGAATATTTCAGAGTATGCACATGCTTCAGTGATACTGTGCAGATACAACAACAACAAACTACGTTCCATAGCGCCTCTCACGACTATTTGTGGGACACTGCTGTGCGCAATTGGCTGCCGCGTTTTGCCCACAAAAACACAGTCAATTCACTTTATGGTATATTCTGTGAAGCGCTTTGAGTCGTTTCATATACGTGATAAGGCGATATATCAAACGCAAGGATTATTATTATTTTTACTCATCGGGAGGACGTCCCAAGGCGCTGGCCCATCAAGGATTTACACCCGAGCTGGGAGTTGGGATCAAGGATGGAGGGCAGGGAGGGTGGGGTTAGGAGGGTGACTGAAGGCATGAGCCAATATCCCAGTGAGTGTGCGCAGATACCCCAGTGAGTGTGTGCAGATTTTCACCCTCTTAAATAGTGGAACTCTCAGTCTGAAGAGGTGGTTGAATCAGATAGTATAGCTGCATTTAAGTGGAAGCTAAATATACACTTGAGGGAGGAAGGAATAGAAGGGTACATGAGGGAGTCAGGAATGGGTGGAGACTCATGTGGATATAAATGGATGCAGCATAAACTCCATGGACTGGATGGGCCGAATGGCCTGTTTCTGTGCTGTATACATATTTTACATAAGTTAATATGATTTTTTTGCAATTTCCTTTTATTTTCCTTTAACTTTAAATGTCAGCACAATGCATTGGCCCAAGTCGGTAGCTGTAAACCTGGAATCAAATTAAATCGCGCTCCATTCACTCTCCAAATAAGCCGATTCAGGGATGAGACGCTGGGTTTTATTCAGGGTTTTATTCCCATGAGCAAGTCACCTCTGCTGAGAGATGAGGAGAGGTGAATGTACGTGTTTTCTGCACTCACAGCAATCTCCGTGGAGAAATTCCAATGTAAATCTAAATAACGTTCTCAGATGCAGAGCCCACTCAGCAGAATCTTCATTTAAATGCCAAAATCTCATTACAGGGTGGTATTGAACCTGCTGCATAAATTGAGCCGACTTCATAAAGCTTCGTTGAGCTATCAACCGAACAAAACAGTCTGAGCCATTCCATTTTTAGACCGTGGAGAGAGCACCAAGGAAATCATCCTGACTGCAAACTGGTTCTATTTCTGTTAATAAACAAGAGAAGGAAGGCCTTTAAAGTCCACCTCGAGATCTACCTTTGCCACCCCCCATGGCTCCCACCCCCAGCTTGGGGGTCTAGCCAGCAGTGTTAGGCACTTTGAAGTGTACTCTTGAGGTGAAAGGCGCTGTTTCCATGCTGTATATTCTACGTAAATCTATGCAATTTTTTGCAATTTCTTTACACTATCCCTTAAATGTCAGCGCAATGTATCCGGCCCCAGTTGGCAGACGTAAACCTGGCATTGCGCTGTATAAATGTAAATTGTATTGATTTACAAGGAAGATATTGACGGTATGGCACCTTGAAACCTTTTACCATCAGGAGCTGGATTGGAATCAATCCCTCACCCATTGGATAAAAATCTCCCTTCTTTCTGATGTCTGCAACCAGGTGGATTCAGTCTGATTGAAAGCCTATCTGCTGCACTAAACTGCACACGTGGAATCCCATAGCGTAGTGTTGGAGCACTCGCCTCGTACATGAAAGGACCCAGGTTTGAATCCCGGCAGGGTAAAACCTTGGTCAAGTTTCATTCTTTCACAACGCTCTGTTTACCTAGCAGTAAGGAGCAATCCGGTTGTATGTCGATTGGCGGATCGGTTTCTGAGGGTAATAATCCCTTCAAAAATAAATAAATATATTTTTAAAATAGGTCACTCAATCCACAACTGTTTGTGGGATACCGCTGTGCGCAACTGGTTGCCCCACTTTGGCCACAAAATGCACAGAATTCACTTTACAGTATATTCTGTGAAGCGCTTTAAGACGTCTCAGCCATGTGATAAGGCGCGATATTATTACACGCCAGCCCTGGCGGTGTCAGTCTGCGGGGGTGTGTGTAGCCAATGCTGATCCCAGGCTCTACAATGGCCATAAACAATAACCAACCAACAACAAAAATAAGTAGAATTTTAAGGGAATATTCAATGCAAGTGTCTGTTGTTAAGCATCGGAGCACCAGAAATTGTACACAAATTTATTAACCTTTCATCAATCGGCTTTTCTTGACATTTTATATCACCTAATTCGAACGAATGTCTCAAACAGAGGGTCCTGTGTTGTGACTGTTGTTTTACAGTATCTTCCTTTTCTACACACACAAACGCACACACACACACATACACACACAGGACTTGCGCAAAGTTCGACTGTCGCCTCAGGTGAAGTAAAGATCAATTCACAACTAATGTAATAAATCTTTTTTATTTAATTGTAAACGGCAAGATTCAGAGGACAATTTAACTCGGATATTTCAATGCTTTAAAAGGAATATCTGCACAACACCACAGACATGTGCATTTCCTATTAAATACATAATTACTTAAACCAGCCTAAATGGTGAAAGCCTTTTAGCTTTTGTACAAAATATTTCCTTGTAAATTATGCACTAACACTGCAACGGAGTATTATTGATATAATACTGGCTGTTTGGCAGATTTCACAAAAATCACTACAGCTGATCACATAGCTCCCTCTGCAAAATGCCAAAGCCAGGCTGGCAGTATGTAGGTGTAGTGTCCATTGGACCGTTCCTCTTTGTTGCAGTATGATACACATAAATGATTTACAACAGTACGATGCCACAGTGTGCGCTGGCTCTAGAAGGGCAAATGCAGATCTAGAAAAAGCCAATGGTCCAACGACATGAGGGAGGCCCCAGGAAGGACCGCAAGTCAAACTATTAAAAGCAGAACGTAGAACAAATTGGTTTCTGGTTTCTTGAATGGAAGCGTGGCGATTTTCATTCATTCTCTCTTAAAGATCTGCCTCATCTTCTCATGTTACAACTTCTTATTCTCTCCCCCTCCCCCTGCCTTGCTCTCTGCTAACAGCCAGCGTGTGAAAGGAAGGCAGTCTTGTGATATCTTGTTGTGACGGCTGAGCCCGTGCCAGGAATGTGAGTTTGTGGCCAAGTCAAGTTGAGCCTCGGAATGTGCAAGACTCGGTGTGGCACTGAGTGGAGATGGTCATTGTGGTATTTATCATTGTGTCACCTCACTGCCTCAAGTGCACCAACAATGACACTGGAACATTGACATCTTTATCAAGTAATGCCCAAGAAATTAGAAAACAATTTGGTCTCGTTGAGGGATTAGTAGAGGCTAAAGGATAGCAGGAAGGTATATGGGGGTGGGGAGAGGGGTATTAATAGCTCCAGTTACTAACTCATCCAGTTTAACCTCACAAGCTGCGGGGGTCAGTTACAGTCGTAAACAAAGTCGTAGTTGCTGGGTTCCTTGGGGATGGGAGGCGGCGCTTCCGGGATCTGAATATTCTCCAAGTCCAGCAGCCGAAGTTTCATCTCCATGCTGAGGAGTGTGTCCAGGTCATTCTTGGTCAGCTCGCTCATCATCTCCTTCCCGAGCAGAGCGTTCAGTCCGTCCGTCCACACGCAGTACTGGAAAGCAAATAGGCAAAACAGGTCAAGGGGGTGGGGGGGGGGGGCGACGGCTCAGTGTTAGTGTGACTCTGTCATTCTGCTCAACTCTGGTATGTGGTGTCATTCTGGTATGTGGCGTCCTGCACCTCAGCGGTTACAGCACTCGCCTCGCAAGTGAGAGACCTGGGTTTGATTCCTGGCAGGGTGAAACCTTGGACAAGTTTCCCTACTCCACACGCCTGGCAATAATCCCTCAAGAAAAAAATTCTGTGAAGCACTTTGAGACGTCTAGAAGATGTGAAAAGCACTATATCAAATGCAAGGATTATTATTATTATTATAACTCTCACAACTTAGGACACACTGACCGACAGAGGTTTTCTTCAGCAGGAGAGCTGATAAGACAAGGTATGCACCAACCCCTGAAGCAACAGCTAGATCCTCTGCTATTTGGACAGAAAATCACTAAACAAAGTTGTAAAAGGTTAAAAGTGTTCACCCAATCTAGGCTGGAGGGGGAAAGCACTCTCGGTGCAAATCTAGGTAATGGAACAGGAGTCTGAAATTTCCCCTGGTTCCAGACTTAGACATTTTAGAGCCACAGGGATATTGACAAATCTTTGGCAAACTCATTCTTAATCCAGTTTTCAAAAAAAACGTAATATAGAAAAAACTTGCTCCCACATTAAGAGAACAGCCCAAGTACAGAGCCAGGTGGAATTTCTGGCTTTGGGTCACCCACCAGCTTAGATCTCAGCTTAGATCTCAGTTTGGGAACCTGTTGTGTAGACAACCACTCCCATGTCCTTCCTTTTGCTGTTCCCTGTTGCTGCTGTTCCCTGCTCACAGCGGGTGAAGAACTAAACTATGTATTTTACATTCTATTCAATACAAGATGCACTTTTGTTTTATGGCAAATCCATTTAGTTTTTTTTATTTTCAAGTGTTGATGTCCGTTCACTCAATGATCCAGGACAATACAGAACAGGAAGCTACAGATTCAAATGAGCTTGGATTCTTTATTAAGGAATATCTCAAATTAGATTGTTCTAATACAAATACAGAGCTCGGCAGTTATATCCTTAGAGGACTGAACTTTCAGTCCAGCTTTAAATATACTCAAAGCCCTTTCTAACCATGCTAGAGCTGGAAGCTTGATTTTTGGACAACCAGGTGTCCGATCCAAGTTGAAACCCATCAACATGCTTAAGAGTGTCCAAACCAGACAAAGTTCTACATGCACCGCCTACACATGGAAATTCCTGGGTTGAAACTCAGAAGTGATGCACAGGTGGCAGCTCGGGAAGAAACCTTGGATATAACATACATTTGCAGCATTACTCTTCTGAACTTTACAAAAAAATTCAGATGGTCCCAAAAGCCTCCAAAGGCTAAACGATGAATCTCGGAGCTGAGTGCCCCTGCTGGGTTAGTGTGGAATCTGTTCTGCAGTGACAGACTTTGGTGCTTCAGCTCCACTGGAGCATCTGACAGAGCAAACATGACAGGCTCAGGACTCCGACCATCCTTAAACTTACTGTCACATCTTGGATGAGCTCAGCTGTGTGAGGTTTGAGCTGTTGACTACTATTCCCACCTGTGACTTCAACCCCAGGCATAGAATCCAGTGCATGAGGTGGGGACTTATCTCAAGAGAGATTTTGTCCCTGAGGAAGTGTCACTCGCCAAATCTTCACAGCTGGCCACAGTCCCAAGCTGAGACTTGCTCCCCGGCCGCTCGCAGGAACACTAATAGTCTGGACTATGAAGTAAATGGTTCATGGGTTGTGCCTCTGGTGAGCTCCCAAATTGAATCATTCTGTGTGGGAAGGTGCTACATAGAACTCTGGCATTCGCCGCAGAAAAGGGGGAAAGAAAGACTGCAGGTGTAAATATAAGTCCATCAAAGGTCAAAAGTTCCTATAATAATAATAATAATCCTTGCATTTGATATAGTGCCTTATCATGTCTTTGAGATGTCTCAAAGCGCTTCACAGAATACACTGTAAAGTAAATTGACTGTATATTTTGTGGGCGAAACACAGCAGACAATTGCCCACAGCAGTGCCCCACAAACAGTCGTCGATTGAGTGACCAAATTATTATTTTTTTTAAAGTAAGTATTACTTTCAGAAAAGCGATCCGCTAATCGACTAACAACTGGGTTGCTACTTACTGCTAGATAAACAGAGGCGTGTGGAGTAAGGAAACTTGCCCAACGTTTCGCCCTAATGGGAATCGAACCCAGGTCTCAGTGCTTCATTCGCCGGCTCCATCAAAAAAATGGAGACATTGTCTTGCTTATTGGCTATGAGGATTTCCATCTCAATCCTCAGGTCCTTGTTGACCAACACCATTGATGGCTGACGTCATGTTGCACACAGAACAACCCAAGCTCTCAGGAATAGTCTGACCAAACACACAGACTGTGAGCACCAAGCTTTACTTACACCAATGAGCAATACAGGACAACCACTATTTAATACAGTGTGTCTTTACTGGTTCCCCATGTTTAAATAATGGAGAAAACGTGTTGCACTGAAACGTTTTCATCAATCAGAGTGTCCTGTAGCTCAGTGGTTAGAGCACTCGCTTTGCAAGTGAGAGACCTGAGTTCAATTCGAGGCAGAGCGAAACCTTGGGCAAGTTTCCTTACTCCACACAGAGCCTAATAATAATCCCTCCAAAAACAAAACAATAATAAATTGGTCATTTTTAATCCATGACTGTTTGTGGGACACTGCTGTGCGCAATTGGCTGCCGCGTTCGCCCACAAATATACAGTCAATTCACTTTACAGTATATTCTGTGAAGCGCTTTGGGACGTCTAGAAGACGTGAAAAGCGCTATATCAAATGCAAGGATTATTATTACTATTATTGGCCGTTTATAAATTTCTAATGGTCGGGAAGGATCTTTCAGTTAAAGAGAAACAATCAGAGGTCTGAAATTCTAGCCAGTCTTAACCTGCAAGGCACTGTTATACCTAAAATGTAATATCAGGTAGAACTGTGGAAAATCCTCGATTATTTTTTAAGACCTGTGGAAAACTGACATCCAGATCACCCTGGGATTGAATGGACCCTGTGGAATCTGACTGTAGGGATCGAAAGCATTGACGTCTGGTTAATGAGCTAGATTAGCCATGTCAGGACGGGTCCAGAACTAATGGTTAGGGAGGGTCTTTGCTGGACGAGCAGAGAGCTCTGCACTTATATGTAGCTGATCTCCACTGTGATCCCTGGCAGTTAGAGCTCGACAATTGGTGTTGTGGAAAGAAACAAATTAGCCAGCATAGCAGTTACTGATCACTCTCTGGAGACTCCTGCTGAAAAGTGAGTATGTTGTGTTAAAGATAGTTCCGCAAACCATTTATTTCACAGACCAGAACATTGGAGTGTTCCTCCTCTGCTGTGACATTCTCCACGGCCAAGTAACCTGTCCACACCAAGCACCGACCGCTTAGGCAAGGTAGTGGAGGCCGCTGGCACCGTGCAAACAGATGCCGGCACGATTCAGTAACTTCAAGAAAGAAGTGGGGAATGGAGGGGGTGGATGGGAGGGTAAGGGGTTCATTTAGACAAACAGATTTAGTTTTAGCAATAGGAGTGGAGGAATGACACTTACCTCGTGCTTTCCAGGAGCAATGAAATTCAAAGAGTCGTCGGGGTCATATAGGATGGAGAAGGCGTGTTCCAACAACTCCTGGAGACACAGAGAAAGATAATAGCAATGTAATAGTAATCCTTGCATTTGATATAGTGCCTTATCGCATCCCACAAACAGCCATGGACTGAATGGCCAAATTATTATTATTTTATTTATTTATTTATTTATTTATTGAAGGGATTATTGCCTAACATTTCGCCCTGCCCGGAATTGAATCCAGGACCTCTCACTTGTGCTCGAACCAATACACTACAGGATTTCATAAGATTCAATGAGACAAAAGCAGCTACTGCAAGGGATCAGTCACCCACTCATACTGTGTGGACCCACCCACCCACTCACTCCGCCAACATTATATCTGAGACACAAGAACTGTTAACTACTGTTATGAGCAGCAAATTCAATGTAAACAATTCTTACAATAAAAGCAGGCAAGTGGAGTCAATGAAGAAAACATTAACGTTGATATTTAAAAAAACACAGACGCATCTAACTACCACTTAGCATTTTAAAGACACTTGATATGAGGTCTAAAGCCCAAATCACATTCTGCATTACCCATAAAGGCTTCCTTTGTCACAAATATATTATTATTTGAATGGGTTTGGGCCTGGTTCTCTCCAGTGTGTGTGTGTGTGTGTGTGTGTGTGCTAGAGTCCAAGCAGAAAATCCCAAGAGATTTGAATGAGGAAGGTCCTTTGGCCTATCAAATCTCATCCTTCCAGAATACCCACCTCGTACTGTACTAAATATCCCTAAGCTGCTTTTGCAATGCATCTAATCACCTGCTTCAGCTACCATTCCTGCTAACTCTCTTCTCGTCATTAATTACCCTCTGGGTAAAGAAATCCTTATAATAATAATCCTTACATTTGATATAGCATCGTATTACGTTATCGAGATATCTCAAAGTGCTTCTCAGCATATACTGTAAAGTGGGTTGACTATGTATACTGTGGGCAAACACGGCAGCCAATTCGTACACAACAATGTCCCACAACCAATTACAGAGTGAATGACCAATTTTATTTGGGGGATTTGTTTACCAGGACACCAGAAGAAACTCCCTTCTCTTTTCGAATAGTATCACGGGACCTTCAACATCCACCTGAACAGGCAGACGGAACCTCTAAAGTCTAACATCTCATCCGAAGGATGACAACTCTGATAATGAAACACACCCCCAGCATTGCAATGGAGTGTCAGCATAAACTAAATGAGTTCCAAGTTGTGACACAGGGTTTGAACCTTCTGACTCAGAAGCAAGAGCGTTACCAACTGAGCCAGGCTGACCAACTGAGCCAGGCTGACCAACTGAGCCAGGCTGACCAACTGAGCCAGGCTGACCAACTGAGCCAGGCTGACCAACTGAGCCAGGCTGACCAACTGAGCCAGGCTGACCAACTGAGCCAGGCTGACCAACTGAGCCAGGCTGACCAACTGAGCCAGGCTGACCAACTGTGCCAGATGGACAAGAAGTGTGAAAATTACCAGTACAATTAACACATATGTAACACCTTCCATGTCGGGAGGATGGCTTAAAGCTTTTGACACAGCTGGCTGGTTGGCTGCATTATTCAGGGTTACGTGCACAAAACAGGCAGATGGCATCGGCCAGGTGCTTCCAGTATTTTGGTTTGGCAAGGTCTTTAAGGTACGTTCCTACTCCCACCACCCCCACCCCCACTCCACACCCTCCCTGCCCAACAGCCAAATTCAAATAACATTTCAGCAAAAGTCAGGTCCGTGGAGCAGCACTGAGTGATGTAATGTATCAGGGTCGGGCAGTTTCTGAATTGCTTTCTTCCCCCAAACATTATTAAGCAACTAAATTAATAGGCTTGTACGGTAAGGCAGGCTGCAAAGTCCCAGTGGACATGCCTGCTAGAGATTAAATATAGTTTGTCTACTTAGCAGTTCACCAAGCAAGCCCATGTGGTAAAAAAAAATTAAATCCTCTTAAACCACTGCTGCAGGCTGGATAAATGCTACTCTGCACATTACATGCATTATATGTGACTCAGGCTGCCTTCCCACTGCCACTCACTGCAGCTATCAGCACTAGATAAACACATCTATCCTCCTCGAGGGGAGGTACACAGGGTCTCCTTGGAGATGAACTGCCTCAAAAGTGACATGTTTGGCAATGGATTGTTGGAATTCAGTTAACCCTCTGTGGTTGTCTCGGTTCCAGAGGCTGGAGTGCTGTGGATCCACAGGGACTACAGGGCAGTACTGATGAAACACGAGCCAGCCTGGCTCAATCTTCAGAGTTGGGGGAGCAGATGGGTCATTGGGAATGGGGAGCATTCTCAATCCCTTTTGCAACACAGAATTACCATGATGGCAGCCCATTAAGAAATACCACAGTCTCACACTAGCAGAGGGAGAACTGTGGTGAACACGAGTGCTTGCAGTTATCAAAGTTATCTGCAAGTTGGGTGGTCAAGTCATCCACCCAAATTTCCCTATCGGCAGGCTGGAAAGGGATGTAAAGAGGTTTGCCCACAGTGAGGGAACATGGGTGGTACAGAGATGACTAGGCTTAGCAAAGTTCAAAGTTTGCTTTTCCGAGGGTAATAATTCGTTCAAAAAAAATGATAATTTGGTCGCTCAATCCACGACTGTTTTGTGGGACACTGCTGTGCGCAATTGGCTGCTGCGTTTCGCCCACAAAATATACAGTCAATTCACTTTCCGGTATATTCTGTGAAGTGCTTTGAGATGTCTCAAAGATGTGATAAGGTGCTATATCAAATGTATCAAATGCAAAGATTATTATTATTACATAAGTGCACCTCTCCCAGGCAGAATGGGTCCCGTGGTCACTTTTTAAACTGGATGGTTTTGCGGCACAGACCTTGGGTGGGGCTGGGGGGGGGGGGCGGGTGCGGGGGAGTGGGGGCTGAATCCTTGTTGGTTCCTGTCTGTGCCTCGAGGCTCATGCTAGTGATGGGTCAGGAGAATGGAGACACTTTAAAAAACAAGGCCATGCCTTTAACAAGAGCTAAGCACTGAGAGTGGAGACAGATACTTTGCCCAGCCCTCGGGATGGCAGATCTTAACTGCATAAGGTGATTGTTTTAAGTCATTCGACGCGGTAGATAAGTTCGATGGGGCGAACGGCCTCCTCTTGTTCCTACGAACCCCACAGGGAGAAAGCGGGTGATGGTATGTGACACAATCTCTGGTATTTGTGAAGCATTTCTCTTTAGCTGCTGCTGTTCATGTGAATCCTCTGCACATTGGAAGAATTTCCACTGCAGTTTCTTGGCTGTACTCAGCCTGATATGATAACCCCATATTTCACAGTTTATTAGCTCAAACGGAAATATCCAACAAGGCAGCTTTCAAACTGAATCAAGCAAGTGGTAGCTGAGACCTTCACCTTATTTCCTCTTTATTTAGCAGCCCATGAATGAAAAGTGTGCAGCACAAGTGACAGGAAACTACAGGGAGCACAGACCCACGTGGAATTAAATCAAGGCTGTTAGAGTTATCACTGCACTTGTCTCTCCCGGACGTCCACTAGCTATTCCAAGTTAGAGAGTTAACTACAGCATTGGGAGCAGACAGACAACAGGAGGAACGTAGAGGCCGGACTCGAGAGTACATTATCATGTCAGTCATGGAAGAAACAAACTTTACCATTATTTTTCTCTCTCTCCTGCTCTCTTTTATCCTCTCCCTCCACTCGCCCCCCACCAACCTCCTGCACACTATTTTCTCCCTCCCACATCAATCCCCAAATAAAGACGGAGGTGTGCAACCTGCCGCACTACAGCCTGGCATAGCAGCATGGGTGAGAGGTGTCTGGGAGAATTGGGGGCACTGACTCACTCTCCTGCTAATTCCAGAGATAACCCTGACCCTTGGTACTAGCTTTCCCACAGAGTGTTCCTATCCCCACCAACGGCCAACAAAATGTACGTGCGGTCGGAGGGAGTCACTCTCTCTCTTTCCCCTGACTGAAGGGCAGACCCCGCTAGTTAAACATAACGGAGAGGGAAGCGGGTGCATTCCCAGAGCACTGAGCTGATGGGGGATGTCAGTTTGAGCAGCTTGTCAAAGCCCTGATAAAAAATTGTTGTACAAAGTTATCATTACCACAGCTTTAAGCAAATTCTATCAACCCCGCAGGGACAAGGCAGCGAAGGAATTTCATTACAAAGACAAAGGACCTGGCAGCTAGATCAAACACGAGCAACGAGCAGGGTTCCAGATAACATTTGCATTTAACTCTGCACCGCTCTCGACATAATCAATCACATTAATATTCATTGGCATGAAACTTAAATATAGGCCTTTTAGAGGATGAGCAGAAATAAAGATCAGCTTTGTTTTTTGCTGCCCTTGAAACTGGAACTTTCACATCTTTCGCAAGCGAAATGTCTGGGATGTCTTAAAAAGGGCAGCTTGGATATGAGGAGATCACCGGTGAAAGCGGACATTTTTCTTTACAGTAATTGTCAGGAATATTTCACCTCTTTTATGCATCAACTCCTTGTTGTGATTTTTATGACATTATGACCTCAATGAATTGCATTTATATTAACGCCTTTTATGTGAGGAGGATGTCCCAAGACGCTGGACAGTTGAGGGTTTGCACCTGAGCTGGAAGCTGGACTTGGGAGGGGTGGGGGCCAAGGGGGGGGTGGAGGTGGGAAGATAATAATAAAAATCCTTGCATTTGATATAACGCTTTTCACGTCTTCTAGACGTCCCAAAGCGCTTCACAGAATATACTGTAAAGTGAATTGACTGTATATTTGTGGGCGAGATGACCGAAGGCACCGTCAAAGAGGAAGTTCTTGAGACAGGCCTTGAAGGAGGCAAGGGAGGGGGCGAGGCGAAGTGAGTCTGGGATAGAATTCCTGAGGGTGGGGGCAGAAAGGCTGATGGTTCGACTGCCAATGGTGGGCAGGCAGGGCGGAAGACGTGAAGCAGGGCAGTGCCTATCGAGCAGAGAGAGCAGGCGTGTTGTTAGGGATTTAGAGGGTCTCTGAGGTTGGGTGGGGCAAGGTCATGGAAGATTTAAAAGTGAGGTGAGGATCTTGGAAATCTATCCTCCGGGGGTTGGGGGAGCCGAGTGAGGGTGGGGGTGAGAGGCTTATGGAGCCTGGGGCAAAGAGGACACGAGCTGCAGAATTCTGAATGGGAGGGAAGAGTTGGGAATTCTGGCAAGCTGAGAGTTGGCGTAGTCAAGCTTGGACGTCATAAAAGCATGGATAAGGGTCTCAGCGGTCCGAGGGGAAAGGTTATGGCGGAAGCAGGTAATGTTGCAGAGGTGGGGGAAAGCTGAACAGGTTATGGCATGGATGTGGGGTTTAAAGGACAGTTGAGACTTGTACAAGACACAGAGGTTCCTCACTGGCTCCGTTAGGTGGAGAGATGCTGTTATCACCTGAGGTGAGAAGGCACAGATGGGAACCAAGCAGAAGAGCCTCTGTCTTGTCAACATTCAATTGACAGAAAGTTAGCGCTCTCCTGATCCCAATTACCAGCTCGGGTGCAGATCCCTGACTGTTCAGGGCCTTGGGACGTCCTCCTGACGTAAAAAGTGCTATACAAATGTAATTTGTGGTTGTTGTTGATCTCCCCAGGCCTCCTGACTCCCTCAGTCAGAGTAGTCTTGGAATCAAGGATGGAGAAATAAAAGTTGTGTGTCTCCACATATGGAAGTTAATCCCATGTTTGTGGATGACATTGCCGAGTGGGAGCATGTAAATGTCAAAGAGAGCCCTGAGGACTGTGCATGTGATGGTGCAAGGTGGGAGAAGAAGCCGTTTGCAGGTACAGAGTGGAGATATTGGGAAAGGTAGGAATGAAACCAGCAATGAACCGTGAAGGTGGAGCTGAGAGGAGATGTAGTGAAGAATGGTCATCAGTGTAGAAGGCGGTGGAGAGTTCAAGAAGAACGAGGAGGTAGAGACAGCCCTGGTCACAGAGAATGTCCTGCCCCTGTATGACTAAAATGCATTACCATTCCCACACACAGCAGGATCTTACTATAATTCATACACAAGATCACAAGAGAGGTTTGGATAAGTTCATCTGATCTCATCCACCCAATTGTCTTCCCATCACGATATCAAGTGGTTTCTTAAGTCAATGCTGGCCTCTTCCACCCACTGTAACCCTAGAACGGGTTGTAACCACTCTAACTCTCGATTATCCTCCATGTAAATAAATACTTCCTGGTGTCTAACTTTAAGATTGCCCTTCAAAATCCTGCAACTGCACAATCTCCTTATCCTTGTGCACCTATTACGCTGCATTTATTGCCTGCATCTAGATTTTTAACTTACTGTACTTTGAAATATTAGTTGTCGACCCCTGCCCCAGTCGAAAAAATGTTTTAAACTTTACGTTGAACGGTTATTTGTTTGGTTACCTTGTTTTGCTTCAGAGCTCCCTTTTCCTTCATATGAGGACAATCCTTCCCAGTCACGATGGCTTTGATATCTGCCACTGGTACTGTTAAATAAAGAAAACCCTCTGTTAATGGCAAAACTCCTGCTGCTGCCACTGCTGAGACACAGTGCCACTTCCTGTCCTGCATTTAAGTGAGTGGCACTTTATTTTGTGAATCAAATGTGCCCTTTTCCTCTCTCAGGGCTCATTGTGCCCTTGGTCACAAATCAGATTCTCCCTCCCCTTCCTTTTTCTTCCACCCCATACACTATCGATCCCTGTTCAAAGGACAGATTGCCCCTTCCCCTGCACCCCCCCCACCCACAAAATACACAAGTGGACAATATTGACACTGCAAGGTTGGCAGCCGCATTAATGCTGTGCCTCTCACACTCAGTGGTTTCTCTTGCCACTGAAGAGAGGGCATCACTGGCTGCTGTATGCAGGCAATGCAAAATAGCAGCTCAGGTGCATAGCAGCAGCAGCCAGAGCTCCCTGTCTCAGGGCTGTTAAGAGAATAGCAGACATGGATATCGCACGTGTTGAAAATACGCTCGGTCCAACCTGTAGAAAAAAGGCCAAATAACCAGGGCATAGTATACATGTATGAGCCTTTGTGGACCACTTACGTTTGTCCTGTAAAGATTCATGCGGTACCTCTCCCTGGGGGCTCTCCTCCAAATCTCCGTAATGCAGGACCTTGTGGTTTGGCGAAAGCCGACAATACCAGAATTTGTCTGCAACGTGAAACAGGTTTGGTCTCAACTTCCATTCCAAACAGATCCTCCACCAGTTTTATGTGCGACGTGAGATTTCGAGTATCACCGTTATGGGTTTTGGGATATCCACCCAATGTGAAAGGCGCAATATAAATGTAAATCAGTATTACTTTACTTTACATTTACATTACATTTTTTCTAAAGTACATGCTGCAAAATAAAAACTTTTTAAAAAAGGTACTGAACAAAGCACAGGAAAATGTGACATCAAAAAACTGCAGTGTTTTTTTTAACAAAAAATGAACCAAACAAATTTATGTCAAATGGATGGATTCAAGGTTATCGAGGTCTGAGTTTGATTTAGAAATTCCACATACGAATCTTGTGGAAAAGTGGATGGTGAGTTTGGATGGCCTGCTCTTGTTTTAAAGTGTTACATGAGTTTATCGCACCAAGGAGCTGTATGTGAGCTTCTGCTTTTGATTTTACGTTAGATTGAAAGACAATACTAAACAAAGAGGAGAAAGACGAGGAGGACCTGATTGTTAGTCAATTGGCGGATCACTTTTCCGGGGGTTAATAATAATAATAATTTGGTCATTCAATCCACGCCTGTTTGTGGGACACTGCTGTGCGCAATTGGCTGCCGTGTTTCACCCACAGAATATACAGTCAAGTCACTTTACAGTATATCCTGTGACGCACTTTGAGACGTACCGAAGACATGATTAGGCGTTATATCTAATGCAAGGATTATTATTATTATTCTGTGTATCCCCGGGGAGTGAGGGGAGAAGGTGGGGGGGAGGAAAAGAGACATGTTCACCAAGAGCATTTCACTGATTGAGAACTTGGCTCTGAGTCGACCTCAGATCTGAGGTGAGTCGGACGGAACAAGTCTCCTTGAGGGGGTTCAATTCACGTCCCGAGGCTCACCGTTTACATTGCCTTTTTACTGACAATGCCTTTTCAGTCCCAGAGGCTGTGATCAAAATCCTCTCCCCCTTCCCCACAGCCAATGCCACCCCCACCCTGTACCTTGTCGTCGTCGGCTGCTGATCTTCCTGAAGCAGGTTCCTTCACAAAGTCGGTTCAGCCGCTGTTGCTTGATCAGCTCCATGATTTCGGGCTGAATCTTCTCCCTCAACTCACTGCAGACAGAAAGAGCCGAGTAAGGTGTCAGCACTCGTCTGCATCGCTGCGATGACCGGGCATCATCACTGTACCGGGCAGGTTCCACATGTATGCGGATGACACCCAACTCTACCCGATTGGCTCGCGCCAGCGCCTCCGCACCTCGGGTGCTGGCAGCATCAGCCTCCACGGCTGCACACTCAACCTCACTAAGCCAGTCAGGAACCTGGGTGTCTTGTTAGACCCTGAACTGTCCTTTCTCCTCCACATCCGCGCCATGACCGGCACTGCCTACCACCACCTCCACAACATTGCCAGACTCCGCCACTGCCTCACCCCTCAGGCTGCCGAAACCCTCACCCACACATTCATCACCTCAGGGCTCGATTACGGGAACTCCCTCCTCATCGGCCTTCCCAACTCTTCCCTTCACAAGCTGGAGATCATCCAAAACTCTGCAGCTCGTGTACTCTCGCGCACCAGGTTCCGTGACCCCATCACTCCCACCCTCACCCGACTCCACTGTCTCCCCATTCCCCAGAGGATCGAGTTCAAGATCCTCATCCTCACTTTCAAGGCCATCCATGGCCTTGCCCCCTCCTACCTCTCTGACCTGCTGCCTCCCTACCAACCTGCCCGCTCCCTCCGCTCATCAGGCTCGGGTCTGCTCCATGTCTCCTGCCCGACCTTTGGTGGCTGGGCTTTCAGCCTCTCTGCCACCACACTCTGGTACTCCATCCCACGATCCCCTCGCTCCCTCCCTTGCCTCCTTCAAAGTCGGTCTCAAGACCCTTCTCTTCGACCGTGCCTTTGGTCTCCCTCCCACCTCTCTGCCTTCCTTCACCCATACACCACCCCTCCCTCATGCTCGGGCCCTGACATCTGACTGTTCAGCGCTTTGGGACGTCCTCCCGACGTGAAAGGCGCTCTATAAATGTAATTTTGTTGTTGTTGTTCTAGCCTGACAGACTAGGCGGAGTTGCCCACACCTGACCACAAGCGTTGTACACGCCCACAGCAAAAACTATCCCCGTGTGCCTAGCACTTTATCCCAGCAGTAAGCATTACGTTCCTGAGACTGCATGAAGAGCACTATATAAATGCAAGTTTCTATTGTTATTGACCACTGATCCTCTCACTCGTCTAATTTTTTCATGCCTTGGCACCTCCCTACCTTTCTACAACAACAACTTGGATTTATATAGCGCCCTCACGCCGGACGGAGTCTCAAAACGCTTCACAGTAATGGAACCCGGGGCCGAGTCGGGGTGGGGGAGGGAAGGTGACCAAAGGCGCGGTCGAAAAGAAAGGTCTTCAGCCGAGACCTGAAAGTGGGAAGAGAGGGGGCGAGGCGAAGGGAGTGAGCTAGGGAGTTCTAGAGCCTCGGTGCATAGTGGCTGAAGGCACGGCCGCCGATGGTGGAGCGGAGGACTCGGGGGACAATGAGGAGCCCAGACCCGGTGGAGCTGGAAGGTGGAAGAAAGCGGTGCTGGTGAGGGACTGGATGTGGGGGAGGACGGATAATTGGGGGTCGAACCTGATGTACGGGTTCAGAGAGTTTTAGGGGGAGGTCGGATAGATGGAGGAGGTGAGAACCGTGTGATTTTAGATGTTGACGAGAGCCAAGGAGTATGGTTTCCGTCTTGTCAACGTTCAGCTGAAGGAAATTCACACTCATTCAGCCCCTGAGGTCTGACAGGCAGACTGACAGAACATCAGGGGACTGGGAGGTCGCAAAGTGAGGTGGAAAAATAGAGTTGGGTGTCGTCCGCATACATGTGGATGTGTACCCCATGTCTGCAGATGACATCCCCAAGAGGGAATATATTGATCAGAAAGAGGAGGGGGCCAAGGATAGATCCTTGGGGTACCCCGCAGGTAACCTGATGAGAGCGGGAGGAGAAGCCGTTGATGCAGATGTACTGCTGGCGGTTCGTGAGGTAGGACTCGAACCAGGCGAGTGCGGTCCCACTGAGGTGGATGACGGAGGAAAGGCGGTGGAGGAGGATGGCGTGATCGACTGTGTCGAAAGCGACAGAGAGGTCCAGGAGGACAAGGAGGCAGAGGGAGTCCTGGTCACAGATAGGGAGGATGTCATTTGCGACTTTCATAAGTGCAGTCTCTGTACTGTGGGCCGAGCAGAAACCGGATTGGAGGGATTCGAAGAGTGAGTGGGAGAAGAGGTGTGCGCGGAGTTGATTGGCAACAACGCGTTCTAGGACTTTTGTGAGGAAGGGCAGGTTTGAAATAGAGCGGTAGTGGCTGGGGTTTGAGGGATCTAGGGAAAGTTTTTTGAGGAGGGGGATGATGACAGCAGTTTTGAGGGGGGCAGGGACTGATCCAGAGGAGAGGGACTGGTTGATGACATCAGCCAGTAGTGGGCAGAGGAGGGGGAGCTGGTGACCAGCAAGTTGGTGGGGAGGGGGTCGAGGCAGCAGGTGGTGGGTTTCACTGAAGTGATGGTGGGTGAGAGGGAGGAGGGCGAGATGGGGAGGAAGGAATGTAGGATGGGGTCATGGTAAGAGCTGATGATGGGGAGGGTGAGGGGGACGGAGAGGGGGTGGTGGTGGGTGTCAAGAGGCAGGAGGATGAGGCTGCCTGGAGGATGTTGTGTATTTTGGATGAAAAGAAGTCCATGACCTCCTCGCACTTGGCATTAGATGTGAAGATTGAGGAGGCCTGAGGGGGCATACAGAGGAGGTAGTGGGTGGTGGAAAAGAGGACTTTGGGATTGTTTTTGCCTCCAAGATGATGTTGGAGTAGAAGGCCGTTTTCGCGCGCGTCAAAGAACGGCAGGAGCTGTGGAGATGCTCGAGTCACAGTTGATGGTGAACTGTCAGGCCAGTTTTCTGCCACCTGCGCTCAAGCAGCTGGTTTGGGATTTTAGGGAGCGGAGATGATTGTTATACCAGTGGGATCGGGTGGGTTTGGAGATGGTGCTGGATTTCAGGGGTACGAGGGAGTTGAAGGTGGAGGAGAGGTGATCATGGAGCAGCTAGACGGCTGCTTCAAGATCTCCCTGGGTGGAAGGCAGAGGGATAGGATATTTGAGAATGTGAGGGCCTTTGTGAGGGTCTTAGGGGATAGCCTTTTCCACGGGCGATAGAGAATGGTTGAGGGCTTGGCGGAAGAGAGAAGGATGTGAGAGGAGAAGGAGATGAGGAAGTGATCCGAAATGGCCTTGTCCACTATGCTAAGGTCGGAAATGTCAAGGGCGTGGGTGATAACAAGGTCGAGATCTAACCTGCTTTCTCGACACACCATGTCCAGCCTCCGCTCGGCTGGATCTGGCCTCCTGTCCCTCATCCCCTCCGCTCCAACATCGGTAACCACACTTTCAGCCACTACTCCCCAAAGCTTTGGATCTCCCTCCCCCAATAATAATAATCCTTGCAATTTGATATAGCGCTTTTCACGTCTTCAAGACATCTCAAAGCGCTTCACAGAATATACTGTAAAGTGAATTGACTGTATATTTGTGGGCGAAACGCGGCAGCCAATTGCACACAGCAGTGTCCCACAACCCCTCTGTCCTGCTCCCTCCTTCCCCTCTTTTAGATCACGACTGAAGAATTCGTCCTCGACCGTGCTTAGAGTCATCTCCTCCCTCCCCCTGGCTAGGCATCATGCTCCGCTACTGTGTTCCGAGACACTGGTGCCCCACGTGAAGGGTACTATATGAATGCAAGTTGTTGTTGTATCCCCCAGAGTGAAGACTATATTCTTCCTCCCTGGACATGAACAAGGACTGAATCCCCACATCACCACCAGAGTTTCATCTTTTTAATCTTCCTTTTGCCCAAGTCAGTGCACTTTAAAGGTCACCTCTCACACAGAAGCGGGGAAGAGATTCGTGCCCTGAATTCACCTAAAAACTATTCCCCCCCCCCCAATGTTCGTTCCAAAATAACAGCTTACCTGCCTTAGCTCAGGCTGTGCAAAAAGTGAGGGTTTATGTTTTAATAACAAGGAGGATGTGATTGTACTCAACACCCACTCACATAGGAAGAATTAAAACAAATACTATTTTATAGGAGACAATTGAACACATAGTTAATTTTACCTCTTCCTTGCAGTAACTTGGGCAGTTTTATTTAAAACAGATTTCCTATGGCATTAAAGTCATTTTTGTTAGTTATTGATCGATTTCACATCTAGACTGAGATTGACTGTAACTACATATTGTGTGGAGGGTGGTGGGGGGGTGGGGGTGGGGGTGCAGAGGAGTAAGAGACAAGAATAGTCTTATTGCTTACAATATAAAAATACTTGGATATTAAAAATGTACTTTATCAAAGAAAATTGAAGCACAAGGTGGCACAATGGTGAAAAAAACTACTTTTACATTTGTGACCTACAAATCCTATAGTCATTGTTGTTTGGAAATTGGATTCTGGAATTGCACAACAATATAGACAGTTGCTATATCAAATGCAAGGATTATTTATTATTAATGATAATCCAGCTCAGATTGCTGATATGAAGATCTCTTCTCTCTGCTAACTATAACTGCTAACTCTGCTAACCCAACACGGAATGATTCAGGACTGGCTCAAGCCCAGAACCCTAAACCCATCCCTTGCTAGATACACACAGAGAAAGGCAGCTGTCGCAAGGAGCACAATGCCTGCACCCAGAGACTAGTGCATGAGCCTCTGAGGTTAGAAAGTAAGACAAACTGGGACATAGCGGGAGCTTTACTCTGCATCTGGCTCTATGTACCTGAGCTGGCGGTGCTGAAAGACAAACACTAGGTGGCAAAAAGCGTTTCCAATTCAAAGCCATTGACGTTTTTCACTTTGAAGCTCATCAATTCAATCTACTTTGTTTTTAATAAAAAAAATCCAAAGCTGAAAATTCAAGAAACAAGTGCACTTGCCTGCGGCAGTACTTAGCCACACTAAATATAACAAGCGCTAATCAAACAGAACTTGCACGGTAATTACCTACAATTACTTTCACACTCATTACCCCTTCTGAAAAGGGCCGCATCAATGCAATTCCGTGCTGAACTGTCCCTCTCCCACCTTCATACTGAAACACATCAGTCCCCGGGTGACCTGCATGACACCACTGCTCAGATAAAAGTCCATCACCTCAACAGGAATCCCTGACACTCTCGCTGTGTTAACCCTAAACTAAATACAGCCTGTGCTAATTTGACCACACTTCGAAATCCAGCTCTCTGCTTAAAATGATAGATTTGTTCTCCATTTGATGTTGGGCTAGGTAGCATATGGGTTATTTTGGATCTATGGGACCGGACAGATGGATTGCAATGGTCTTCACTCCTACACATTTCTACGTTAATTTATGGGTCTCTTTAAAAATAATACATTTCCTCTCTCTGCCATAGCACCATAATCATGATATATTCTTCAACGTCCCATGATGAGTCATTGAAAACTAGCGAATGTTATCTCAGGTGGTCCACAGTTTCTTTACTGGACTTTCTTTACCCCCTCCACAATAAAAAAAGCTTGTTGCATTTCCCCCAAGAGGACAAGATCTGGAACTTACTGTACATGCCCACTACTGACTACTGTCAACAACAATTCCTTTCCTTAGTGACGGGTGCTGTACAAATGCAAGTTATAGTTGTTGTTCCACTAAAGAACCAGAAACTAGAGAATTGTGGTAGTGATAATTACACGCTATTCTGCAGTTACCACAACACTAAATAATGATAATTCTTATCATGTCTCATAGCACTTCACAATGCGTAGTGTCTGTATTAATGGACTGCTGTTTCAATCCTTGGATTTACCCCAACATTATACAGGACACTCCACAGAACCATAGAAACGTGTGACACAGTGGGCCATACGGTGTCACTCCATTTCTTGTAGTTACTTACTATGACTGTGGCATTCAGCATCTCTGCCCCCACACTCTGGAACTCTATCCTGCAATCCCTCCACCTCACTCCCTTTATTCCCTACTTCAAGTCCCGCCTAAAGTCCTTCCTCTTCAATCGTGCCTTCAGTCACCCTCCTGCCCCTACATCCCCTGCCCTCCACCCCTCCTGACCACAACTCCCAGCTCAGGTCCAAAAATCCATGACTCAATGCCCTGGGACGTCTTTCCGACCTGAAGGTCGTTATACAAGTGTAATTTGTTGTTGTTGACAATAAAGGACTGATGTGTCAATCCTGGCAATTCCACAAAATGTCGCGAAAGGTTACCAGTAACGTTTTCAATTTAGATGAAACTTCCAAATGGTACTGTATTGCATCACAAGTTTGCAGTGCGGAGAGGCGAGGTGGAAGGCACGAAACTCCGCAGGGAAAGGAGGGGCAGGAATCCTGTAACCGTGCGCGCCAAAGGCAGGTGCAACCTGGAAAGATTCTGAGTGCTTACAGGATGGGACGCGACTGGAAGTCCTCCTGGTTCATTCTCTCGGACTGTCGAATTTTCAGGATCTCGGTGTAACTCAGGTTCTGCAGCTTACTCTTGAACTGATCCAGTGAGTTAGGCTTGGTGTTGAGCGCCCTCATTATCTGCTCCTTCACCACTTGCATTACCTACCAACAGGACAAAGGGGAAAACAATTGGGAGTCAGTTTACATCTTGCCAAGGGTTTTAATGAGCGCCTGCATTCAAAATATTTTGCATTTCTTTAATATCAACCGGTGTTCATATAGCGGCCTTCACATAGGATGACGTCTTGGAGTGCTTTACAGAGATGGGGCCCTCCCCCCGCCAGAGCAAGAGAGAATGGAGAGGGGGAGATGAGTGTGAAGAGACTTATAGCTGAGGTTGAAGACTTGAAGTCGATCAGTTGGGGGACAAGCAATGACTTGGGTGATGGACCTGCGGAGTTTGGTGCAGAGTTTTACCATCAACTGAACCCACGTTGCAAATATCAACACCAATAGTGGGCATAGCAACATAACCCCAACAACAACTGCAACTTATTCAGATTCTTTTATTGGTGGAAGTCGTGCAAACCTTTAAAGATATGGGAGTGGATAGGCAACAGAGAGCTGGAGGGAATACTATCAAAAAGGTAGTGTAATTTTTTTTATATAGAAGCTATTGTGTAAGCAGAAAGGCGGAGGGAAAACGAGAGGGAATACTGTGTCTAAGTGAGCAGCATTCTTTGCCTTGGTAATATTCCAACATAACTGTTTCCCTCCCTCTCTTTCATTGTGAGTCATGAGGCATTCTTTGAAGTTCGTTGTTATTAATTTCACTCTGGACCAGGGTATTAAAGGCCATTCCTTATTTACAATATAAAAAGAGCTGGGAGACTGGGAGCATTGTATAAGGTTGGAGCTCGAGTGTTGGTGGGAGGCAGTGAATGAGACTACAGGACTCGCTGAGCTTCGATGTGAGCGTGGGATTTAAACGCAGCTAATGGCAGGTGATTTGGAGCATGTGGCAATTGCTTGTGTCCTCCGCCCACATCCACCATTGGGTGTCAATTTAAGCAGTTGAAAGAGAGAGTCAGTCTCACCATTCAGGAACCATTTTATTAATAACAATAATTAATCAGAAAGAGAAACTACCTTTCACCACGTTCTGGCTTCTCCCTCCCCATCCCCATGTTGCTGGCTTGTGCTGGGTACCATTCTGGGGGTATCAGTCATCACGTGTGAGCCCAAACAATGAGTGTTGCCAAGCTATTCAACACTGGGGACAGCCCCACCCAGCACCTCTCCACTGTTGGCTCAGTATCTGTATCAAAGAAACCTGGGTCGTTCGAGCCTGCAATCCTGGCTAATATTCCTTCCTCACCCAAATTCACTTCCAAAAGACTGATCAACTGGCTCCTCATCTAGTTGCTCGCAGGATGTTGCTGGATGCAGATTAGTTGCCACATTTGTCTATGCCCAACAATCCCACAAATAAAATTGATCACTCATTTTATGGCTGTTTGTGGGACACTGCTGTGCACTGATTGTCCTCTGGGTTAGTCCCCATAATACACAGTCTCTCCACTTTACAGTAAAATCCTGTGAAGCACTTTTAAGCGTGCTCCCAGCATGAAAGCCGCTACATCAATGCAAGGTTTTTTACACCGTGTAAACTCACTTCATCACTAACTATGTGAAATGCTAACAAGAATTAATTCAGTGTGAATGGCACTGTACAAATGAGTGGTGCTGCTGTTTTATATCTTCCCTCGTCCTCCTCGACCTATCGGCAGCATTCGATACGGTCGACCACACTATCCTCCTCCACCGCTTGTCCTCCCACCTCAACCTTCAAGGCCCTGTCCTCGAGTGGTTTAGGTCGTACCTCTCCCACCGTCTTCATTTTGTTTCCACAAACAGCTTTTCCTCCAGCCCCCACACTGTCTCGTGCGGTGTCCCTCGGGGCTCTGTCCTCGGTCCCCTCCTCTTCACCCTCTATATGCTCCCCCTCGGTGACATCATCCGCAGACATGGGGTTAACTTCCACATGTATGCAGATGACACCCAACTCTACCTTTCCTCCTCTACCCTCAACTCCACGACCACCGATGTCCTGACAGCTGCCTGTCCGTCATCGAGTCCTGGACGAGAGACAACTTTCTTCAGCTCAACGCGCGCAAAACTGAGGCCCTCCTGATTGGCTCACGTCAGCGCCTCCGCACCTCAGGCGCCGACACCATCAGCATTCAAGGCTGCACTCTCCACCTCTCAAAGCCGGTCAGGAACCTCGGGGTTCTGTTCGACCCTGAGCTGTCCTTTCTCCCTCATATCCGCGCCACAACTGGCACCGCCTTCCATCACCTCCGGAACATCGCCAGACTACGGCACTACCTCACCCCTCACGCTGCTGAAACTCTGGTCCATGCCTTTATCATTTCAAGGCTGGACTATGGGAACTCTCTCCTCGCCGGCCTTCCCGCCACCTCCCTCCACAAGCTGCAGGTCATTCAGAACTCTGCAGCTCGTGTACTGTCCCGCACCAGGCTTCGCGACCACATCACTCCCACCCTCGCTCGCCTCCACTGGCTTCCCATCCCCCAGAGGATCGAATTCAAGATCCTCATCCTCACCTACAAGGCCATTCACGGCCTCGCTCCCTCCTACCTCTCCGACCTACTATCCCCCTACCTACCTGCCCGTACCCTCCGTTCCTCTGGCTCCGATCTGCTCCACATCCCCCGCCCCAACCGCCCTACCATCGGTGGCCGGGCCTTCAGCCTCTCAGCCCCGAGGCTCTGGAACTCCATCCCCCAGTGCCTTCGCCGCCTCCTCCCTTTCCTCCTTCAAGGCCGGTCTCAAGACCTTTCTCTTTGACCGTGCCTTCAGCTCCCCTCTCAACTCTCTACCCCTTCCTCGCTCTCTCCCTTCCCTCCCCTCACCCTGACCATTTCCCCCCTCCTCGCTCCCTCCCTCCCCTCCCCTCACCCTGACCATTTCCCCCCTGCTCGGGTCCTGACCCAACTGTCCAGCGCCTTGGGACGTCCTCCCGACGTGAAAGGCGCTCTATACATGGAATCGTGTTGTTGTTGTTGTTCCCAGAGCCAACATTAATAATAACAATCCTTGCATTTCATATAGAACCTTAGTGTTGAGTCATCTTAGAGCACTTCACGAATATATTGTAGAGTGTGTATTTTCAGGGCGCAGCCAAATGCATACAGCAGTATCCCACAAACAGTCGTGGATTGATTGACCACATTTTTTTTGAAGGATTATTACCCCTGGAAAGCGATCCCCCAATCGACTAACATTCCAGAGAAAGATTGTCCAAAGTTGCTAATTAAAGACACATGTGTGAAGAAAATAGGTGGAGACGGAGAAATGGGAATTAGGTGGTCTCCTCTTGTGGTGGTCTACGTCATCTGACTCCTGAGCCAAGGGGTACAGCAGAGCACTGCTGATGACAGCACAGCTCATTGGCAGGACTTGGAAGACCAGACCAGTCACTGGGGGCAGGGAAGCATCCCACTCAGCTCCTATTAACCCTGTAAGTCAAAGCTCTAAAGGTGATCAGAGGTACAGTTAACCTGCAAAGAAAGTTGAAGGGTTTTGAAAGCAGAGAGGAAAGCTGGGAATCAGAGGAGTTGGGCAGTTTCAGAGAGCACGGTCAAAAGGGTCGAAAGCTCATCCGCTAATGGAGAAGAGGACATGGTGAAGTTGGCATCTTGTTTACAAAATGAGATTAATTCAAAATAAAGTGCTTGTTGTTATGCAGGCAAACGACAGCGATGACGATTAATCACAAACCCAAAGAACAAACTGAAGTAAAATCACTTTGAAGCATTTCATTCATTATAGCGGCTGCAAATTAATCCCCGAAAACAGCAATATCTATCTAGTCTTCCCTCCGTTGGAACTGCATCTCTTACCTTCCAGCACAGCACAGTGCAAGATGCATTCATGGTAAGAGTGCAGTGATTTTTTTTTGTCAGCCGAGTGTCTCGCACATGTGAAAACGCATCATCATGATTAAGAGTATCCAAACCAAGCTGAGAATTTCATGCATCCCACCTACACGTGAAAATCTCAGAGATAGATCGTTGGAATGGATGCGTGCACTCCCTCCCTGGAGGGACACATCCTGCTTACCTAATTCCGGAAAGTATGAAGCTCAGGTTGGCAAGAGCCAAGGATAGGGGACCCCACAGAGTGCGTTGGGGTACTGAGTGCAATGAAATACAGTCTCTGCGGGCAGAAAGCAAGAGCACCGGCCCTTTAATTTGTAATAAGCTTTACGTCCCGAGTGGATGAGAAATCTGCTTTCAGCATCTGGCTCGAAGCTTCCCCATTGTTTCCAGTACTGGGTCAGCGGGGTTTTGATCTCTGAAACAGCTGGGACCCCATCTGTGTATAAAGCGCCAGATACAGATGACAAGGAAGGTGTGGTGTACAGAGGCAGGGGGTTTGTTGGGGGAGAAACGTGGATGCAGAGTTCAAAATCAAACTGAAAGTGCGAATGGCATTTAAAAGCAAGGGACGTTGTATTTTAATGCTGGGTAAGCACAAGGATAAAAGCTATCCTTGTACTGACGCCCACAGAAACTATGCTGTATGGAAACACTGTAAATCAAATGTGAAAGCTTTGGGTTTTATTCCTATGCCGAACAGAACTGTTCCACTTTACGACAATACTCCTCCTACAAATGGCATCCATGTAAAACAGCGAGGACAGACCAACATAATCTAAGTTGACTATATTCTATATTGTAAAAAAATGAAGTTTTAGTATTTTTCTACTGACTTAAGCACACTCTCTTGTTTCTCCTCTTCTCCCCAACCCAGATACAGACCAATTATCAGGTGAGCAAGGAGGAAGGGATCAGGAGGATGTAATCCACTCGTAGGGGGTAGGGAGGGTGGGGTGTGTCAACAACAACATAAACCATGTGAATGAAGGCAGTGCTGTCCCTGATGCAATTGGGGAGAGAGATTAATTGCTGAAATAACAAGGGCAAACACACAGCAGTTTGCCAAACTCCCGAGCAAGGACTCAGCTCCATGTTTCAGGTAAAACTAGTCCCCAGAAGCCGTTCTTTGGTTTGACTGACATCGACAGCAAAACTATTTTAATGCTGAAGGAAAAATATCAAGAGGATTTGGGGGAG